GATTGGTTGAGATGTTTGGAATGTTTATATGGTTTGATTTTGATATGAAATGTATCAGAATGAACGCTGATGTGTGAAATTTTATATTTTATAGAATTAGAACTATGGCCGGTAGAGTTAGATTTACTAGTGCTACAAATGAGATTTTGGCCCGCATGACACAAGTCTTAGAGACTTTGGTGCAAAACCAAGATGCACAACCGGTAGAGTATCGTGAACCCTCTTTGTTCACGAAACATAACCTTCCGAAGTTTGAAGGGAAATTTGATTCAGAAGGTGCGTAGAGATAGATAGCGGATATAGAAAAGATATTCAATGCGATGGGATGTTATGAGGAGCACAAGGTGGTTTATGCCACCTATATGTTGGGAGGTGAAGCAGAGGATTGGTGGAAGTTTTCCAGTCAAACTCTGCCATAAGAAGAAGGATTACATCCACTGGGAAGCTTTTAAAGCATGTTTTCTAGGGAACTACTTCCCTAGAGACTTGAAGAAACAAAAGGCCCGGGAATTTCTTAAGTTGAAATAAGGAAATATGTCTGTGGGAGGTATGCTGCAAAATTCTACGAACTTATGAAGTATTGGCCTCATTTCCAGCACGAAGATGGAGATGAAGATTTATGTGCCCAATTTGAGAATGGGCTAAGACTTGAGATACGAGCAATAGTTAGTGTCTTCCAGCTGACTGATCTGCCAACATTGGTCAGCAAATGCCAAATCTTTGAGGCAAATTCAAAAGGCAAGACTGTAGACAGCCGAATTGGAGGACCGGTGGTTCCAATTTCTCAAGAAGATCATTGAGATGCTTTAGATGTGGAGGACCCCATTTGGTGAGAAATAGTTCATACCCATCATCAGCCTATAGTATTTGTGGGAAGACGGGGCACTCGACGAATAACTATTGGTCAGCCCCTTAACGGAGTGGAAGTAACTGGCCTGCATCCAGAGCAAGTATTGGAACAAAGCCAAATGTAGAAGGCAAGGTCTTTGCGATGAATGGATATGAGGCGTCCAAATTTGATAAATTGATTAGAGGTAAATGAATAATTAACGACAGAATATGTGACGTCTTATTTGATTCTGGTGCTACACATTCTTTTGTTTTTATGGATTGTGTGAACAATATTAGATTGCCAATATTTTCCCTGCCATGTAATATTGTTGTGTCCACTCCTATAACTAAGCCTATTATAGCTTCTTCAATGTGCTTAGGCTGTTCTGTTATGATTCATGGTAGGAATTTCTATGTGGACTTAATCTATTTACCGCTTTCTCAACTCGATATTGTTTTGGGCATTGATTGGTTGTCATCCAATCGTGTTTTGTTAGATTGTAAGGAGAAAGCTTTAATTCTTGGGTGATACACCGAAAAACTCTAAACTCCTAAATATGGGTGAAGCTAGAAACATAGATGAAATTAAAGCCTTCATGGTATTATTCCCTGTTGAGATTGATAAGGCCACGAAAGCTGAGTGTATTCCAATAGTGCAAGATTTTCTGGAAGTTTTTCTAGAGGATGTAACCGAATTGCCCCCAGAAAGAGAAATCAAATTTACTATTGATTTGATTCTGGGAGCAAGCCCAGTATCGATCACACTATACCAAATGTCACCAATGGAACTAGCAGAAGTGAAAAAGTAAGTGGAAGATCTATTGAAAAAGCAATTTGTAAGGCCAAGCGTGTCGCCATGGGGAGCTCTAGTACTTTTGGTGAAAAAGAAGGATGGGAGTATGAGAATATGCATTGATTATCGTCAGTTGAACAAAGTGACGATTAAGAATAAGTACCCTATTCCTAGGGTTGATGATTTGATGGATCAGCTATGAGGAGCTTCAGTTTTCTCAAAGATCGATTTGCGATCAGGCTATCATTAGATCTAAGTGAAGAAGGAAGATATCTCTAAGACAGATTTTAGGACCCGCTATGGTCACTACGAATATTTGGTGATGCCATTTGGTGTGACTAATGCCTCAGCAGTGTTCATGGACTATATGAACTAGATTTTTCATGAATTCTTGGATCGATTTGTAATAGTGTTTATTGATGATATTCTAACAGTCATAAGGAGTATGCTGAACACTTAAGAATTGTTTTGTGAATGCTGAGGGAAAGACAACTGTATGCGAAGTTATCAAAGTGTGAATTTTGGCTTCCACAAATACATTTTTTAGGACATGTTGTGTCAAAGGAAGGAATTATGGTCGACCCAGCAAAAGTAGAAGCAGTAGCTCATTGGTCGAGACCTACAACTCTAATAGAGATCAGAAGTTTCCTTGGATTGGCTGGCTATTATAGAAAATTCATTGAGAAATTTTCTAAAATAGTGCTACCTTTAACAAAACTGATGAGTAAAGGAAAAAGACTTCAAGTGGAATGAAGAATGCGAAGCTAGTTTTTAGAGTTTAAAAGAAAAGTTAACTTCAACTCTAGTGTTGATATTGCCAGACCCAGAGCAAAAGTTGAAAGCGTATTGTGATACTTCAGGACAAGGACTTGGTTGTGTTCTGATGCAATCCGAGAGAGTAGTTGCATACGCTTCTAGACAACTTTGACCTCACGAAGTCAACTACCCCACACATGATCTGGAGTTAGCGGCAGTGGTATTTGCATTGAAAATCTAGAGGCATTATCTATTCAGATCGAGATTTGAAGTATTCAGCGATCGCAAGAGTCTGAAATATCTATTCAATCAGAAAGAGCTGGATATGAGGCAGAGGTGATGGATGAATTTTCTCAAGGATTATGACTTCACCTTATCCTACCATCCCGGGAAGGCGAATGTTGTAGCAGATGCACTGAGCAGGAAATCCTTGCATATTTCTGCCATGATGATAAAGGAGTAGAAATTGATTGAAGAATTTAGAGACTTGAATTTGATAGTAGAAGTACAACCTAAAAGTTTATACTTGGGTACTTTGAAGATTAATAACGATATTTTTTTGCAAGTCCAGAATGCTCAAGTGGAAGACCAATATATACAAGATAGGGTGTAGCCAAAGGATGAGGCTAGGGGCTTAGAATTTCATTGTGACTCAAGTGGACTTATCAGGTTTAAGGGCAAAGTGCAACACCCGAATTTTGTGATATTAATTATTGTTATTTATATAAAATCTAAATGCATATATATGTGTGAGTAAGTGTAAATGGATGTTGAAAATTTGCATTGGATGCGTAATGATGGTGTCTACCCGACCCGGAGCACAAATTTGATGTGTATTGTGATGCATCCGGGCAAGGACTTGGTTGTGTTTTGATGCAAGACGGGTGAGTGGTCACCTATGTCTCGAGGCAATTACGTCCGCATGAAGTCAACTATCCGACACACGATCTAAAGTTAGCCGCAGTGGTTTTTGCTCTTAAGGTGTGGAGGCATTACCTATATGGGGCGAGGTTTGAGGTGTTCAGTGACCACAAAAGCTTGAAGTATCTATTTGACCAAAAGGAACTAAACATGCGGCAGAGGAGATGGATGGAATTCCTCAAGGACTACGACTTCACATTGTCTTACCACCCTGGCAAGGCAAATGTGGTAGCCAATGCATTGAGCCGGAAATCATTGCATGTGGCAGCGATGATGGTGAAAGAGATGAAGTTGATTGAGGAATTTTGGGACATGAATTTGGCCATGGAGGTGAGGCCGGAGAGTTTATATCTTAGAGCGACGACGATTCACAATGACTTCTTGGTGTACGTCCGAGATGCTCAACAAAGAGATGTTTTCCTGCAAGATATGATGAGACAGAAGGATGAGGGAAAGGACTTGGATTTCCACCGTGATGAGAATGGGGTGATTAAGTTCTAGAATCGAGTGTGCATTCCTCAAGTGGATGAACTGAGACAGATGGTGCTAGAGGGAGCGCATAAGAGTAGGATGAGTTTTCACCCCAGTGCAACTAAAATGTATCAGAACCTCCGGAAGAGTTTTTGGTGGAATGGTATGAAGAGAGACGTGGTTGAATATGTGGCTAAATGCCTAACTTGCCAGAAGGCGAAGGTAGAACACCAGCGTCCTCCTAGGTTGTTATAGCCATTGGAGATCCTTGAGTGGAAATGTGATAGTATTTCCATGGACTTTGTTACTGGACTGCCTAAGACCAGGAACAACCATGACGCCATCTGGGTGATAGTGGATCAGTTAACCAAGGCTGTATACTTTCTTCCGATCAACATGAAATATAAGTTGGAAAGACTTGCAGAGTTAAATGTACGGGAGATAGTCAGGCTGCATGGAATGCCGACTAGTGTGGTGTCAAATAGGGATCCAAGGTTTACCTCAAGGTTTTGGGAGAGCCTGCAACGGGCATTGGGGACTAAGTTGAGACTGAGCTTGGCTTATCACCCATAGACTGACGGTCAGACTGAGCGGACTATCCAGTCCCTAGAGGACTTATTGAGGGCTTGTGTGCTTAAGCAACAGGGAACTTGGGAAGAGTGCCTGCCGCTGGTGGAATTCATGTACAACAACAGTTATCATGCTAGCATTGGAATGGCACTGTTTGAGGCCTTGTATGGGCGGAGGTGTAGAACCCCGTTGTGTTGGTATGAAACCAGAGAGGCGACTCTGTGTGCGCTGGATATGATCCAAAGGCAGAATGAGCAAATCAAAATGATCAAAGAGAAAATGAAGGCTGCGCAAGACAGGCAAAAGAGCTACTATGATAAGAGGAGGAAATTGTTGGAGTTCCAAGTGGGGGACCATGTGTTTCTGAAGGTCTCGCCTATGACCGGAGTTGGGAGGGCTCTAAAATCTCGGAAGCTGTCTCCTAAGTTTATTGGGCCATTTGAAGTGTTGAGTAAAATTGAGCCTGCAACAGGCATTAGGGAATAAGTTGAGACTGAGCTTGGCTTATCACCCACAGACTGACGGTCAGACTGAGCGGACTATCCAGTCCTTGGAGGACTTGTTGAGGGCTTGTGTGCTTGAGCAGCAGGGAACTTAGGAATAGTGCCTGCCGCTGGTGGAATTCACGTACAACAACAGTTACCATGCTAGCATTGGAATGGCACCGTTTGAGGCCTTGTATGGGCAGAGGTGTAGAACCCCGTTGTGTTGGTATGAAACCAGAGAGGCGACTTTGTGTGCGCTGGATATGATCCAAAGGCAGAATGAGCAAATTAGAATGATTAAAGAGAAAATGAAGGCTGCGCAAGATAGGCAAAAGAGCTACTATGATAAGAGGAGGAAACCGTTGGAGTTCCAAGTGGGGGACCATGTGTTTCTGAAGGTCTCGCCTGTGACCAGAGTTAGGAGGGCTCTAAAATCTCGAAAGTTGTCTCCTAAGTTTATTGGACTGTTCGAAGTGCTGAGTAAAATTGGTCCGACTGCATATTAGATCGCGTTGCCTCCGAATCTCTCGAATCTACATCCGGTGTTCCATGTGTCGTAGCTTAGTCAATATGTGCTAGATCCTTCCCATGTGATTGATCTTGACCCGATTCAAGTAAAAGAAGACTTGTTGTATGATGTGTACTCGGTGAGGATTAAAGATCACCGTGTTAAACAGCTGAGGGGTAAAGAGATATCATTGGTGAAGATAATTTGGAGCTCAAGTGATGAGGGAGATGCCGCATGGGAAACAGGGAGTAGAATGAGAGAGTTATACCCAGAGTTGTTTGAGTAATTCATGTGCGGGGTTAGTTGAATTTTAGGGACGAAATTCCTTAAAGGAGAGGAGAGTTGTAACGCATGATATTAATTATTGTTATTTATATAAAATCTAAATGCATATATATGTTTGTGTAAGTGTAAATGGATGTTGAAAATTTGCATTGGATGCGTAATGATGGTGTTTTGTGTGTAATGAGTATGAATATATGTACATATATGAATGTTGTGGATGTGTGTATATATATGTGTATGCATGACTGGATAGGGCGAAAATGGGCTAAGTGCTTAAATGCGGGGTGTAATACTAGGTTGTTCTCGCTGCAGCGAGAGGGCCCTGGGAAGGAAGGACCAAAGTTGTTGCCTTTTCGCTGTAGCGACAGAGCGACAGTTTATGGTACATTTCTGGGTGCAGTCTCGCTGTAGCGAGATGGTCTCGTTGTAGTGAGATTCTGTAGAAACCAGGGTGCAGTTTCGTCTGAGATTTACACTACAGCGAGAATATCTCGCTATAGCGAGAGTGTCGCGACCAGAAAAGGATTTAAAGGGGGGTTAGGGTTCAGGGAGAGTTATTTCTCCCTCTCCCTTAGAAATCCCTTCGATCCTCTCATTCCCAAACCCTTTTCCACCGATTAAATTGCCTCCAAAGCCGTTCAGAAGCTTGATTGAAGGATAAATCCGTGTGGGGAACGCTTGGAGGTGAGTTTTAATGGTTAAGGTTTCTGTTTTTCATTCTCTTTCTCTATTTTCGTGGTTTCTCTTGGTTCTCATGGAGTTTCTCCATGTGTTTAGGATGAAATCCGCAAGGGGGCACTTCTTGGTAGATTTATCGTGTGGGACGTCGATCCAAGGTAAAAGGGGCTCTATCCTACCCTTTTGTGCATGAATTGTTGTTATTTTGCTGAATATCATGCTGTGGCTGAGTTAGTGAGTAGGAAATTACTGAGAAATGTAATGTGGGCCATGTGCCGTGCTATGTGAACATTATGTGTGTTGACCCGAAATTGATGAATGTGGATTGTATGTAAATATTGTGTGATAGAATGAGGGCATGTATGCCGAGTGTTGTGAATAGGTATGGGCACTTGTGCCGTATATTTTTAATGAATATTGTGAAAATGTGGGCCCAAAGGCCGTGTAATATGAACAATAATTGTAGGCTACGTGTCGTGTGCTATGAAATGGAATGTGGGCTGTGTGCAGTGTGTAACCATGATTACTGCATGCGTGAATGGAATATGTATGAATAGGCGTGTAAGCGCCGTTGTAATGTGTTATGAATGGTTCAGCGATACACTGGGGTGTGAAAGATGGGAACGGTAGAAATACCTTGGGGAAGGGAGAGTGGTGGTGACACCGACTGTGGAACGGGTGCACCATGGGCCACACACTCTCTTCCTGACTAGTCCTCTAACCACTACTTTTGCTGAACGACCTATGACTGACCACGTGGTATCCGTGAGGTGGGGGTAACCGGCAACCATTTATGATGTAAATCTGTGATGACAGTGCCATAGTGAGTGTGGCTGGGGTGCGTATGCACAGTTTTGTGTATTGTACTTGTGGATGTAAAATGCTGCCTGTGATTGTGTTTGTTTAATGTATTGGTAATGTGCTAGAGGTAAGACTCTATGTTGACTGTGTATTTTTGAGTAGTGTAGAGTACTCACCCTTACATTCACTTTTCAGGTAATCAAAACGATCAGCACCGAACTCAATGGAGGGGTGGATGGAACTGCTATAGGACTTAAGATATTATTTTGAAAACTGTTGTGTTTGAATAAGTTATGTAACAACTGTTTGATTAAATTTGTAACCCCTTTCTTTATTTGAAATGGTTGATGAAACTTGAATTGAAAATGAAAATTTTATTATTTCAAAAATTTACAAAATTCCTTATTTATTAAAATTAAATTTATGGTGTTACGCAGAGTGTGCGTTCCTCAAAATGAAGAATTGAAGCAAATGATATTGGAAGATGCATATAAGAGTAAGCTAAGCTTCCACCTTGGAGCAATAATGATGTATAACGACTTGTGAAGAAATTTCTGGTGGTACGACATGAAGAAAGAGATTGTTGAGTAAGTTGCAAAGTGTTTAACGTGCCAGAAATTGAAAGCAGAACATCGGTGGGTACCAGGAGAATTACAACCATCGAAGATTCCAAAATGGAAATGGGGTAGTATCTCCATAGACTTCGTATCTCGACTGCCAAAAACAAAGAGAAATCAAGATGTTATATGGGTGATTGTAGACCGTCTAACCAAGACTGCACGTTGCATTCCAATTAATATGAAGTATAAATTGGAGAAGTTAGCGAAAGTGTATATCAATGAACTAGTCAGATTGCATAGGGTACCCTTAAGCATCGTATCAAATCGAGACCCGAGATTTACATCAAAGTTTTGGGAGAGTCTGCAAGAAGCTTTGGGGACTAAGTTGAAACTTAGTTCATCATATCAACCTCAAACTGAAAGGCAGACAGAGTGTACCATCCTATCACTAGAGTATTTGCTACGAGCTTGTGTGATGGAGCAGCAAGGAGTGTGGGATGAATGTCTACCTTTGGTAGAATTCCAATAATAGTTATCATGCAACCATCGAAATGACACCATATGAAGCATTATACGAAAGGAGGTGGCAAACTCCTCTATGCTGATATGAAGTTGGAGAAACAATTTTGTATCTGCCTGATGTAGTATAGAAACAGAATGATCAAGTAAAGATGATTAGAGCAAAGATAAAGATTGCTTAAGATAGACAAAAGAGCTACCATGATTAGCAAAAGAAGCCATTAGAATTTTAAGTTCGCGATCATGTATTTTTTCGAGTTTCACCCATTATTGGAGTTGGTAGTGTAACATCCTGTACTTTGATTTAAATAAAATGAGGTTTGTTAAAGTATAATTGGAATAGATTTTGATAGAATTTATATATATTTTTTTTAAAAAGTGAACAATAAAACTACCTATGAACAGTAAACCGCGTATGAACAGTGAAACCGCCTATGAACAGTAAACCACGTATGAATAGTGAAATCACGTATGTACAGTGACGATGACGTTATCAGTGCAATCATCATAATGTCATGGCTGACGTCACATCCGCGTACAGTACGTGTACAGTACATGTGCACAGTGTTTCTGGCTTGAACAGTGTCCGCAAACAGTGTTTCCAGCGTGAACAGTAAATTCTGGCGAAGAACAGTAAATTCCGGCGGTGAACAGTAACTTTTGAAAATTTTCTATAAAAAGGGGGTTTCAGACAAAATTTTTATTTCTTCATTCCTATCCAAGGTTCTCAAAGGTTCTAAGGCTATATTTCGCCATTTTCTCCCATACTAAATCTCCTAAACTTAGATTTCTCTTCAGATCTGTGATTCTACTTCCGTTCTAAAGGATTTCAAGTAAGTTTCTCTAAGTTTGAAGCTAGATTTACCGTTCGTTTCTCTTCTTTTTCTTTTTCTTATAGATGTTCATGATGTTCTTAGGAAAAACTCCGTTCTAGAGTTATATCTTCGGTTAAATCTTTGTAAAAGCTCTGTTTTGAGGTAAGGGGGCTCAACTTTATCATTTTGTTATGTTTATTACTTGTATTCTCATATATCTTGTCATGTATGTGATTATATGTGGAATAATCCCTGTTTTATGAGAAATAATCAGTGAAAAGTGAGAATAATTGGCTGTTTATGTGATTTTATGATGAGTACATGATGAAATGGTAATATTATGTTCAAATAGGGCATGATAAGGTATATTGAGGATGGTTGATATGATTTTATGATTTTGTGATATGAAATATACGAAGAGATGGATGTTTCATGTTTGAATATATTGCGTTTCATGTAAAAATGACGTGTATTGTGAATATGCCATGGTTTGATGTATATGATGAAAAGTATGTGGAAATATAATGAAAAATATGTGTGAACATGATAAATGGCATATGTGAACATTGAATATACTTGAAAAAGTATAAGATGGAGATGATATGGAATATCTTGGGGAAATGCAGGGTGGTGAGTGACATTCAGGATTGTGCACGGAATATTGTGTTCGAATGCACCACATGGCCACACACTCATTTCTCGACTTGACTCCTGACCATTACCTTTGCTAAGGGGCTATCTATTGAATGCGTTGTATCCGTATTGTATTGGGTCATCCGGCGACTATTTACATGGATGTGTAAGACCTCAGGATAGAGGCATCGGATAACTGTGGCCACAAGGCGCGGTAAGTGCGGTTAAAAGAAAAAGAAATTGTGAATCTGTGGAATATAATATGTGTTTGTGTGTTGATATGAGAACATGATTTATATGACACTATGATATGTAATGCCATGATGTTTTCTTTAATCGTGATAAGATGTGTTTTGTGATGAATATGTTTGATGTATGAGTGGTAGGGTAGAGACTCACCCTTACACAACATTTTCAAGAAAGCAGGACGAATAGTACCAGGCTCACAGTGCATGGATGGATGGGAACTGCTATAGGACTTAGTTATTTTGAGTTAGTAATGAATATTTTTCAGTTCTATAGCATTCTTTTGAAACAGTTGTAAAACTACTATTTCTTTTTTTTGTTGATGAAAATTCTAGAATCTTTGTTTTTCTAAAATACTTATGAATTAATGAAATTTTACTCTATGAACCTTATATCATTTCAATGTCTCTTTCTTATTAGGGAGTTTTTTTTGAAAGAAAATTTACTTTACCATTTAAATTTTTTATGAAAATTTATCATATATTGAGGAAAGAAATATAAGGCGTTACAATTTTGGTATTAGAGCAGTTCATCCAGACCAAACTGGGGTATGGGACTAACATGTTTGTGTTGTGTAATAGATATACTAGAATATGAAATGTTTATTTGCTAATATGACTTGTTAGATGTGAATTACTTAAACTAGATGTATCAATGTGTATGTGAATGATAGATTCATAAGTGATTTGAGTTTATTGCAAGATTAGAGCTATGGCTGGTAGAGGTAGATCTGCTGGTGCTACAAATGAACTCCTGGAGCGCATGACCCAAGTCTTAGAGACTTTGGCACATAACCAGGAGGCTAAACCAGCCAAGTATAGAGGACTTTCTTCTTTTACTAGGCATAACCCTCCAAAATTTGAGGGAAAGTTTGATCCTGAAGGAGCTCAGAGGTGGATAGCAGATGTGGAGAAGATTTTCCATGCCATGGGATGTAGAGAGGAGCATAAGGTAACTTATGCTACTTATATGTTGAGTGAAGAAGCTGAAGATTGGTGGAGATTTGCTAGTCAAACTCTACTGCAAGAAGATGGTTATATTCCTTGGGAGACATTCAAGGAAACCTTCCTGGGAAGTTATTTCCCTAGAGATTTAAAGAAACAGAAGGCTAGGAAGTTCCTTGAGTTGAAACAAGGAAACATGTCTATAGGTGAATATGCTGCTAAATTTCATGAATTGATGAAATACTGGCCTCACTATCAACATAATGATGGAGAGGAAGATCTATGTGCTCAATTTGAACATGGGCTAAGGCCAGATATTCGAGCTACCATTAGTGTATTCCAGCTGACAGATTTACCCACTCTAGTGAGTAAATGCAGAATATTTGAAGCCAATACTAAGGGTAAGACGGTGGATACCAGAATCGGTGGTCCTATGAGGCAAGACCGAAGGCCTCCAAGATTTTCTAGAGGACCTTACTCTAGTCCAAATTAGTCTCAAGTGAAGGGGACTGTATCTCAAGAAGATAGTAGTGGTGGTTCTGGTTCTTTCAAAAGGCCACTAAAATGTTTCAAGTGTGGTAGGCCTCATATTAAAAAGAATTGTCCTCAACTTCCACCAACATGTGACATTTGTAGGAAAATGGGACACTCTGCTAGTGTTTGTTGGTCTGCTCCACAAAAGAACGGAAGCATAAGTGTGGAACAAAGACCTGAATCTAAAGCAAGCACTGGAATAAAGCTAAATGTGAAAGGCAAAGTTTTTGCTATGAGTGGAGCTGAGGCTTCAAAATCAGAGGGGCTTATTAGAGGTAAATGTATCATAAAAGACCGACTTGTAGATGTGTTGTTTGATTCTGGTGCTACTCATTCCTTTATTTCTGTGGATTGTATGAGATGTCTAGAATTACGTGTATCTGATTGTCTTGTGATGTTATTTTATCTACTCTTACGGGTAAGTCCGTAGCAACTTCTTCAGTGTGTTTAGGTTGTCCTGTGACGGTACATGGTAGGAGTTTTAGTATAGATTTGATTTGTTTACCTCTTTCCCAACTTGATGTAATTTTGGGAATGGATTGGTTGTCATCCAACCATGTTCTATTGGACTATAAAGAGAAAGTCTTGATTTTTGGCACTAAAGTATCAGAAAGTGCTAAACTCTTAGGTCCAGATCCATTGGAAAATGTATTGAGTGCTAAGGCTTTCATGGTTCTATTTTCAATTGAGACTGAAAAGGAAATGAAGCCTGAGTATATCCCAGTGGTTAGATATTTTTTAGAAGTTTTCCCTAATGATGTTACTGAATTGCCAGAGAGATTGAGTTTACTATTGATCTCATTCCGGGAGCAAATCCTATTTCTGTTGCACCATATAGGATGTCACCAGTGGAGTTGGCCGAGGTAAAGAAACAGGTAGAAGAATTATTGCAGAAAAGGTTTATAAGGCCAAGTGTGTTACATTGGGGAGCACCTGTTCTTTTGGTGAAAAAGAAAGATGGGAGCATGAGGATGTGTGTTGATTATAGGCAGTTGAATAAGGTAACAATAAAGAACAAGTATCCTATTCCTCAAATTGATGAGTTGATGGATCAGTTACGAGGAGCTTCTGCATTTTCAAAGATTGATTTGCGATCTAGTTATCATCAGATCAGAGTCAAGAGTGAGGATATCCCCAAGACAGCGTTTAGAACCCGCTATGGCCACTATGAGTATCTAGTTATGCCATTTGGTGTGACTAATACTCCTGCAGTATTCATGGACTACATGAATAGAATTTTTCATGAGTTTTTGGATAAATTTGTTGTAGTATTTATAGATGATATTCTGATTTATTCCAAGACTCATGAAGAACATGCAGAACACTTGATAATTGTTTTGCAGATACTAAGAGAAAGATAGTTGTATGAAAAATTCTCTAAGTGTGTATTTTGGTTACCACAAATCCAATTTTTGGGACATGTGGTATCGAAAGATGGCATTATGGTGGATCCAGTAATGGTGGAGGCAGTGGCTCAATGGCCAAGGCCTACTAATCCAACAGAAATTCGCAGTTTTCTGGGACTAGCTGGCTATTATAGGAAATTTATTGAAGGATTTTCTAAAATAGCTTTTCCCTTGACGAAGTTAACAAGAAAAGGAAAGGAGTTTGTGTGGAATGAAAAGTGTGAAGCTAGTTTCCAAAAGCTAAAAGAAAAGTTAACATCTGCCCCTGTCTTAGTTTTGCCTAATCCAGAACAAAAGTTTGATGTGTATTGTGATGCATCTGAGCAAGGGCTTGGTTGTGTCTTGATGCAGGATGAAAGGGTAGTTGCTTATGCTTCGAGGCAATTGCGTCCTCATGAAGTTAATTATCCTACTCATGACCTAGAATTAGCCGTAATGGTTTTTGCCCTTAAGATATGGAGACATTATCTATTCGAGATGAGATTTGAGGTGTTTAGTGATCATAAGAGTTTGAAGTACTTGTTTGATCAGAAAGAGTTAAATATGAGGCAGAGAAGGTGGATGGAATTTCTGAAGGATTATGATTTTACATTGTCTTACCATCCTAGGAAGGCAAATGTGGTTGTTGATGCTTTAAGTAGGAAGTCCTTGCATATGGCAAGTATGATGGTGAAAGAATTAGAGTTGATTGAGAAGTTCTAAGATATGAACTTGGCAGTGGAGGTGTGACCTCAGAGTCTGTATCTTGAGACTTTGATAATCAACAATGATTTCTTGGTTAGGGTTCGTGATGCCCAACAAGAAGATGTGTTCTTGCAGGAAATGATGAGGCAGAGGGGTGAAGGGAAGGATTTGGAGTTCCATTGTGATGCAAATAGACTGATTAAGTTCAAGAACCGTGTGTGTATTCCTTCTAATAATGAGCTTAAGTAGATGATACTTGAGGAAGCTCATAAAAGTAGAATGAGTTTTTATCCTGGTACGACAAAAATGTATCAAGACCTTCGTAAGAATTTTTGGTGGAATAGAATGAAGAAGGATGTGGCTGAGTATGTAGCAAAGTGTTTAACTTGTCAAAAGGTGAAGGTAGAACATCAACATTTACCTGGGATGTTGCAGCCATTAGAAATTCCTGAGTGGAAGTGGGATAGTATTTCTATGGATTTTGTGTCTAGTTTACCAAGAACCAAGAGTAATCGTGATGCAATTTGGGTGATAGTAGATAGATTGTCTAAAGAAGCTCATTTTCTTTCCATTAATATGAAGTACAAGTTGGAGAAGCTAGCAGATATGTATGTGAGAGAGATAGTTAGATTGCATGGAGTGCCAACTAGTGTTGTGTCAGACAGAGATCCAAGGTTTACATCTAGATTTTGGGAGAGTCTGCAGAAAGCCTTGGGTACTAAGTTAAAACTTAGTTTAGCTTATCATCCACAAACTGATGGTCAGATTGAAAGAACAATACAGTCCTTGGAGGATTTGTTGAGAGCTTGTGTTATGGAACAACAAGGAACTTGGGAGGAATGTTTACCTTTGGTGGAATTCACGTATAATAATAGTTATCATGCAAGTATTGGAATGGCTCTATTTGAGGCTCTGTATGGAAGAAAGTGTAGAACACCTTTGTGTTGGTATGAAACTGGAGAAGCGATCCTATATGTGCTAGATATGGTTCAGAAGCAACATGAGCAAATTAAATTGATTAGAGAAAAGATGAAAATAGCACAGGATAGGCAAAGGAGTTACTATGATAAGAGGAGAAAACCTTTGGAGTTTCACGTAAATGATCATGTGTTTTTGAAAGTTTCACCTATGACTGGAGTTGGAAGAGCTCTAAAATCTAAGAAGTTATCTCCTAAGTTTATTGGGCAATTTGAAGTGCTAAGTATAGTTGGTCCTGTTGCTTATGAGATTGCTTTTCCTCCAAATCTCTCAAACCTGCATCCTATATTTCATGTATCTCAGCTTAAAAAGTATATTCCTGACCCTACTCATGTGATAGAACTTGATCCTGTTCAAGTGAGAGAGAATTTGTCATATGATGTACAGCTGGTGAAAATTGTTGATCACCGTGTTAAGAAATTAAGGGGTAAGGATATTTCACTTGTTAAAGTAATATGGAATACTAGTGATGAGGGAGATGCCACGTGGGAAGCTGAGAATAAGATGAGAGAATTATATCCTGATCTTTTTGTAACTTAACGAATTTCGGGGACGAAATTCCTTCAAGGAGGGGAGAATTGTAACATCCTGTACTTTGATTTAAATAAAATGAGGTTTGTTAAAGTATAATTGGAATAGATTTTGATAGAATTTATATTTAAAAAAAAAAAGTGAACAGTAAAACCGCCTATGAACAGTGAAACCGCGTATGAACAGTAAACCGCGTATGAATAGTGAAACCACGTATGTACAGTGACAATGACGTCATCAGTGCAATCATCATAACGTCATGGCTGACGTCACATCTGCGTACAGTACGTGTGCACAGTGTTTCCAGCTTGAATAGTGTCCGCGAACAGTGATTTGGCGTGAACAGTAAGGCGGTGAACAGTGTTTTCGGCAAAGAACAGTAAATTTCAGCGGTGAACAGTAACTTTTGAAAATTTTCTATAAAAAGGGGGTTTCAGACGAAATTTTTATTTCTTCATTCCTATCCAAGGCTCTCAAAGGTTCTAAGGCTATATCTCGCCATTTTCTCCCATACTAAATCTCCTAAACTTAGATTTCTCTTCAGATCTATGATTCTACTTTGGTTCTAAAGGATTTCAAGTAAGTTTCTCTAAGTTTGAAGCTAGATTTACCGTTCGTTTCTCTTCTTCTTCTTTTTCTTATAGATGTTCATGATGTTCTTAGGAAAAACTCCGTTCTAGAGTTAAATCTTCGGTTAAATCTTTGTAAAAGCTCTGTTTTGAGGTAAGGGGGCTCAACTTTATCATTTTGTTATGTTTATTACTTATATTCTCATATATCTTGTCATTTATGTGATTATATGTGGAATAATCCCTGTTTGATGAGAAATAATCGGTGAAAAGTGAGAATAATTGGCTGTTTATGTGATTTTATGATGGGTACATGGTGAAATGGTAATATTATGTTCAAATAGGGCATGATAAGGTATATTGAGGATGATTGATATGATTTTATGATTTTGTGATATGAAATATACGAAGAGATGGATGTTTCATGTTTGAATATATTGTGTTTCATGTAAAAATGACGTGTATTGTGAATATGCCATGGTTTGATGTATATGATGAAAAGTATGTGGAAATATAATGAAAAATATGTATGAACATGATAAATGGCATATGTGAACATTGAATATACTTGAAAAAGTATAAGATGGAAAAAGATATGATGTAAATAGTTACAGAGATACACTGGAGGAGTGGAAGATGGAGACGATATGGAATATCTTAGGGAAATGCAGGGTGGTGAGTGACATTCTGGATTGTGCACAGAATATTGTGTTCGAATGCACCACATGGCCACACACTCATTTCTCGACTTGACTCCTGATCATTACCTTTGCTAAGGGGCCGTATATTGC